GATAAGTCCTGAACAGGTTAAACAAAATTCTGACGAATAAATAAATAAATAAATAAATAAATAAAGCCTGGATCTGGAGGTCCTGAACTCTGTGGATCTTGACTTGTTTTCATTTTTCTGTGTTTTAAAGAGACTCTTTGGGTTAAATAATCAAATAAAAGCTTTGTTTGTTTGTTTGTTTGTTTGTTTTTGGATGTTTAATAACTCTTGTATATTTGCACACCTGCTTCCTGTTTACATCTATTTATGCTGCATCATTTCTTCATTTGAACCTGTGGTTTTTAACACTGATGATGGTTTAACAACATGTATAAAAGCTGTTTTTTGTGTGAAAAATCAGAGTTTTTCTTTTGATTTGAGCTGAACGCAGTGAGGACTGAGTTTTATTACATCCTGATCAGCTCTGAAGCTGGTAAATATTAAAGAATATTATTGTTTACATTTAGTCTCCTTGGTTTTAGATTTCAGCGTCTTTAATTCTTCTAAAAGTAACTTATAGATAAAAGCCTGTTTCTGTGAGTTTAATCAGATTAGAGCTCAAACCTCTAATATTTATATCAATTTATCTGAAACACAAAGTCCTGCAGGAAGCAGCTTTTTGTTGTTTAACTGATACATTTTAAAGGTTTTATATTTTTACTGTAAATAATAAATCATCCCAGCAATGATTGAAAACATTTCAAAATAAAACGTTGAATCTGAAGATTAAAATCTACTCAGATAAACATTTTGTCTTTTTCTTGTTTTGTTTAAAAGAATTAAATCTAAAACAAAAACACACAGCTACAAACCTGATAAATCATCTGACCTTTCAGAATAAAAGTTTCTATGTTTCTGTTCTAAACTTTCAGAATAAAAGCTTCTATAATGTTTCTGTTCTGACCTTTCAGAATAAAAGTTTCTATAATGTTTCTGTTCTGACCTTTCAGAATAAAAGTTTATATGTTTCTGTTCTGACCTTTCAGAATAAAGGTTGCTTTGATGTTTCTGTTCTCTGCAGGTCTGCGCTCAGATGAGGAAGATGAGCTGAGGAGTGATGAAGGTGACCCTGACACACAGGTATGATTCTGACTCACCTTTCCACTAATGCACCCCCATACCATCAGAGAGGCAGTGAGCTGATGGGACTGAACAGAAGTACTGGACTGTTGGTCCAGACTGTCACTGTGTCCCAGAAATTGCAGAACCTTGTCTTCCCTGGGCTATGTTGGACATATTGGACATGGACATATTGGACATATTGGACATGGACATGTTGGACATATTGGACATGGACATGTTGGACATATTGGACATGGACATGTTGGACATATTGGACATGGACATGTTGGACATGTTGGACATGGATATGTGGGACATGTTGGACATATTGGACATATTTATATTGGACATGTTGAAAATGTTGAACGTATTGGACATGTTGGGCATGGACATGTGGGACATATTGGAGATTGACATATTGGACATGTTGGACATGGACACGTTGGACATATTGGACATATTTATATTGGACATGTTGAATATGTTGAACATATTGGACATGTGGGACATATTGGACATTGACATATTGGACATGTTTATATTGGACATGTTGGACATGTGGAACATATTGGACATGTTGGATATGTTAAACATATGGGACATGTTGGACATGGACATGTTGGACATATTGGATATATTTATATTGGACATGTTGAATATGTTGAACATATTGGACATGTGGGACATATTGGACATTGACATATTGGACATGTTTATATTGGACATGTTGGACATGTGGAACATATTGGACATGTTGGATATGTTAAACATATGGGACATGTTGGACATGGACATGTTGGACATGTTGGACATGTTGAACATGTTGAACATATGGGACATGTTGGACATGGACATGTTGGACATGGACATGTGGAACATATTGGACATGTTGAACATGTTGAACATGTTGAGTATGTTGAACATATTTGACATGTTGGACATGGACATGTTGAACATATTGGACATGTTGGACATGTTGAACATGTTGAATATGTTGAACATATTTGACATGTTGGACATGGACATGTTGAACATATTTGACATGTTGGACATGTT